GATGAATACAGATACATGGTTTTGGAAATGTATAACTATTAAATTATTTTGAAGGTTTTAGTTGCTACATTTTATGTTAATAATTAATCAAACTGCTATAATTTATATGTAGCTGAATTACAGCAAAATACCTAAATAATACCTAAATACCACAGCCAGAGATGTAAACATAAGCGTATTAAATCCTCTATTTCCTGTTTGTTAACTCTATTTATATTATTATTATTATTATTAAATGTGATGTTTATGACTCTCAAAAAAGCAATATGGCACTTTTAGCATATTAAAAAATAGAACAGAATAATAAGCACAACCATTTAGTCAAAATCTTAGTAAGTAAGTAAAGTGACAAACAGGATTTTTTTGTTAAATGCACTTAAATTTGCTGCGTTTTATTCATAGATTCCCACTCTATCATCATTGGAGCTCAGACTCTGTGCTGTAGTTTGAGTGACCAGCTCATCTGATGACAGTGATCCGGGATGCAGTCAGATTTATGCACCTGGTGCCCTGACTCAGTCTAAACACATATCACTTCACAGTCATATGCTGATATAACCCCAAACCCCCTAAAACCCACTATCTGAATTACAATATCGCCCCCTGCTGGACAAACGCATGCAGTACAACTGACTCTGCTCCTCCAGAGTTCCTTCTATTAAAACTTAAAGAAATGCTAATATCAAATGTCGTGAAACATGTAGATAAATGAGTACTACACGCTGTAAATATATTAAATTATGAATATATAAACAAAATAAATATTACTCTTTAGAGCTACATAAATAGCATGTTTATATTGTTTGTCAATCTTTAAGTAAAGTGCACAAACTGGATTTCTTTATGTAGGTGTAAAGGTCTGTTTCATGATTCATAATTCAGTTTTTATCTTTATTAGGAAAATACACAATTTAGTATGTTTTATGATTTCTTTGCTGTATTTTAAATACTTAGTAAACATTTACAAAAATGTAATACATGAAATACAACTTAGCCAAAAGTTTCTTAGCTAATTTGTTAAGTGTTAAACTCATTTCTAAGTTTCCTGTTTAATTACGCTGTAATTCCTTAATGAGAATAATAATAGAACATTAATATAAACACCATGTCTGGCATTTCTACTACTGAACTGAATAGGCTGTCAAAGTGAATCATTTGAATAATATATAGTCATAAGTCATCCAATGCTGTCTTATAAAAAATATAAAATCTGTTAGAAATGAGGAATTCAAGGATTTTTTTCTGAAATGCCAAAACATGGTACTTTATCACAAATATTATGTATATTATGTATATTACTGGATATGTTATATGTTCCTCATAATAGCATTTGTATTTGTAAGTATTGTTCTTTCTCTTGTTTTATACTGCTGATGTGAGATAATGTTTATTTGTCACTTCGGTCATGGTAGTATTCTTCTGATATGTTTGGTTCAGTAATGAAAAAATATTAAAGTATAAATTACAAAAATAGCAAAACATATACAGTCATTTTAATCAGAGAAGTTCTCAGTTGAAAATATGTTTGTATGCACTTTCATTATAATTTTGCAGCCATAACTTATAGTAACTTTTTACTGTTGGTTCAGTGTTTTGAATCTTTAGAAAATAATACAGGCTTACTTAAAGTTACAATAAAAAGACAAATTATTATTGGATAAAGAAATAAACAATATCTATTTTTCATTTCAATAATTCATTTAAATTGCCAGAAAATGCACTACACATATTATATTTTTAAAAATATAAAACAAAGATGAATTTTGTTATATATTTGGAATAATGAGCAATGCTTTTAATGTTAATGTACAAAAATAACATGTTTCTTATCTTATTGCAATTCATTTGCTATGATTTGCAGTTTATTATATTAATGTTTTAGTAATGTACTGTAAAGTAAAGTAAAATGTAATCTGAACCAGATATTTTCTGCCTTGTGTCATACAATAATAAAAAAACAAACATCAAATGTTTTGTTAAAACCCAATGAATACTTTTCTTTTTCCAAAGGATTATCTTCAAAACATTTTTAAAAACTTCTTCAAAGTTGGATCGCAGATGGTAACAGATGATACATTATGAAACCCAGCAATAACAAAATCTTTTTATTCTGTGATGTGGGGATCTCCGCTTCCCTTCTGTTTTCCTTCACACACAGGCGATGGCCAAACAAGTCTTCATGTGAGCCTAAGCTGCTCAGACACATGAGGAACAACTTACTGCATAAACTAAATTAAACCACGGTCTCCAAATGTCTCCAAGAGACACACACCCACATGTATTTGTGACTTTCTCTAACTGTTGATGAGCGCCTCAAGAATCTTAAATCTTTCTCCAACAAGGACCATCCAATATCCCACACAGAGGTGCTGAGTGGAGGAGCGGCAGAAACAAAACAATGGTTTGCCCTTTGAGAAAAGACTTTGACGAAACGTGAAAAACTTTGGCTCGTGTGCGTACAAGCAACTGATATTATATCGCCATGTCACAGCGGGATACATTTGTTGTTACGTGACTGTTTTCATCATTAGCAAAAAAGTGTCTCAGCTCAGGCAAGATTTGCAGTGCCTTTCATCAGATGATCATGTTATTCAGTGGATTTGTCTCCGCAAAAATAATGTTTCCTCTGACACAAGAAAGGGGAGGCTGCAGGAGGCCAGGAGCATGATTTTAGGACGTGTGCCATTAACAACAAACGTAGGCCTTCGCTACCCGCTCCTCATGTGGAATGCATAAATTCTGTGCCTGCTGAATAAATTGCATGCGCTCGCAGACTTTGTGGCTGAAGTAGTGAAAGATATTCTAAATACATCTACATATATACTGGCTGTGATGCAGAGCTGGAATTGAAAGGCTCTGTTTCACATATCTGGAGAATCAGTAGTACCAGCATCAATCCATGGATTATATGTACTGCATGAACAATGATAAGGACAAAAAAAAAGAAAGACATATAAGAATGAATAATGAAAGATGAATAATTGCAATGGAAACAAAATATGCAGAAGATTTGTCTACCCAGGCCAGCAGCAATAAACCATACTTATAATCAGACATCTGTATATGTGTGATTCTTTTTCTCTGTCTCAATAAAACACGCTGGATGTGTTTGTGTGCACTCAATGTGCACATGTATGATTGTGGGTGTGTCATTAATAGGCTGCACTTCAGAGAAAAAGGTAGAAATCCACCAGATGTTTTGCAGCTGGGTGGATCTGGTAGTGAAGATCTAGACAGCATCTGTCACAGGCGAACATTTCTAATCTGTCCTGAACATTAGGCAGAGAGCACTAAAAACCCATCGCTGGCCGCATGTGCCGCTCGGTTCACAATGTGCTAACCACAGGCTCCGCAGCTTGGCCCCGAGAAAGTTCAAAATTAAACAAGAAGAAAAGTAATATTTATCAAGCTGAGGAGTGAAGAGGCAATTTTAACTACAATATTCCTCTTTGATTTCTTCTGAACTCTTCAGCAGAGTGTGGCTGCTAAACTTTTAGAAAGCAAAACAAAGGCTAACGGGCTAACTGAAGTTATTAGGGCAGAGTGCCTCAGGCTGAAGACCAGCGCTTTGAACTAGAGGTCCAGCAGAGCTTAGTGAGGTCAAGATCTGTCAAACAGCAAGCAGAACTAAAATCACAATGTTCTGGACGGACATTTTCTTCAAAGAACTTCAGTTGTGCATTAAAAAGAAACTATGCATTGTCAATCAATGGACTTTTTTCTGTTTTCTTTAAAGTTGTTGCTGCTTCCACAATATATTTCCTGTAAATTTAGACAATTACATTTCTACAGCGGCTACACAACTGCATTTCAGAGCTAGCTATGACGTGTTTAGCTAACATTCTCAGTTTGGGAACTGTGGGAATAACTCCAAGCTGACCTTGATGGTCTCAAGATATTTCCCTTCCTGGGTTCATGTGCCTAGTTACCAGTTGGTCAACCTCGTGCCCTGTGAACTGACCCTGTCCTCCCTCCGAGGTTTGAAAGGAAAAGAAAGCCAATCCTCCGGGGAGCGCTCCGACTAACAAGAAAACTGCTGGCCTGAATCTCTCAGAAGTGCTGTGTTTTCCCACTGGACCACTTTCAGCTTAATAAACATCTTAACTAGCCAGAGGTCCCGCGGGAGCTGCTGGGAAATCCTCTGGGCAGCCAGAGCTCAGGAGCTGGCCCTTTATTGCATCCAGGTGGCTGTTAAAAAATGCTGGCCGGCCCTAAATGTCCAATAAAATGCAAGTGGCACCTTCAGGGGTGGACAGGGTCAGTGCACCTGTCTGTGGACGAAAGCTGCACTCGCTCCCCCTTGTCCAATCAGTTTGATGTCACACTCCTATGTTGTGCCACCACCACAACCAGGGAAGCATTACTGCAGGGGCCTACTGGACACAGGCCCCCTGACCTCCTGGCCCCTGTGAGTTAAAATGACAACATAGAGATGCAAAAAGAGTTTAAAAAAAAACACAAAATGACGACAAACTAGGGCTGAACCATGTGCAAAAAATCATATTGCCATTATTTTGACAGATATTGTGACTGCAATATGATTCACAGTAGTGGGAAAGAGCATTTATGCATCACTTTTCATTTTCACTGAAAAAAAACTATTAAAATCATAATAATTGTGACATATAATGTTGTTTCGTCACCCATTTACCTTCCAAAAAGGGCCAAAAAATTGCAGCTTCTGGCATTTTGATACTGCACTTGCCCATATTCGGATTTTAATATTATTTCCATTAATTGTGCAGCCCTATGGCCTTCACAATCACCAGATTCCAACCCAGTTGAACACATATGAGTTTTTGGTGTGACGTGTTAGGACAGTTTCTTTAGGAACTCCAGTAGAGTTCAACAGACTATAACAAGAAGCCCTGACGCTGTTCTGGAAGCTCACTAAGACACTTAATGTTCTTCCTATCCTGTAAGCACAAATAACCCTTGTTGCCATCTTCCAACAGGTCCAACAGTGCCAGCCTGAGCTGAACACAGTCGATGTGACAAAGCTGAATTAAAAAAGAAAAACAACAAACGCAGCTCAAACTTACTGTTGTGAGAGTTTGGGCAGCGGCCGGCCAAATGCAACCACGGGCAAGAAGGGAGTGATCACTATAGTTTCAACTGGAAGAAACAAAAAAAATTAGAATTTTAAATCTCTTGAATCCGTTTAAAAAACATCCCGTCAGTGTTGCTGATTGCACTGAGGTTTAATTCAGCTATTGGACGGGACGTTATGCAGATGTACCGTCTTCAGTGTCGGGATAGAAGGACGACAGCTCTGGCTCCGTCTCCGGGACGACTTTCTTCCGGTTCATGCGCTGCTGCAGACGCTGAAACATGCGCTGCTCTCTGATTCGCTGGATGTCCCATCTGAAAAACACCGAAAATTAATTTAAAAGAAATGTCAGGAAGAGTAGACAGACAGAAATCATAGTAACCTCAGAGTGCTACAGAGCTGGTAAGTGATACGTCTTACTGCTGGAATTATTTGAAGCTTAAACTCTTCAGACGGCACTTAAAACTTCAAATTCAATCAGAGCTTCTCTAAGCACTAAATCTCCACCTTCCTCTACTCAGATATGCATGTTTTAGTGCGAGGAAAATCAATTATTAATGCTTGTTTTTTTATTCGTTTTTACAGTGTAAGCCTTTAAAAATCATCCTCATAGTTTGACCTTGAATATAGAGTAAATACTGAAATATTTTACCATTTCTAATCTACCAACAGTCAAATATTTATGCTAAAAATAGTCAAACTACAGCCTGACGATACATCGACCACCTATTAGTGATTTATCAGTATTTGGTGCATGTTTCAAACAAAAGGTAACACAAAAATGTTAAGCTCAGGTGTGCAAAAACTACGGATTAACTTCTAAAATACAAAAATGTGATGAAATATATGTTATTTTATCAGCCAAAAAAAAGAGAAATCCTTATATGAAAAGGAACTTTTTGACTGGCATCCAATCTGTTGACTATTAATATTTTAGTTCTCAGCTCTCTCTTGATCTCATTAAAACTATATTGATTAGACAAAGCCTTCCTGTAACTTGTGCAGACAGAAATAAAGTAGAAAAGTACTTAATCAAATGTTTATTACAAGTTCTCAGCTTTAAAATCTGTTTGTTGTATTTGTGTTGTTATTTAAACGTCATTAACGACATTCTGATTTATTTTCCAATCCTGTTATAGCGTTCATCTCTTGGTCACAACTCTTTAAAATCATTGACAAAAATGTTTAATTACGCTCCACGTTTACCTTAACTAACATATTATATTATATATATTTATTAACTCCAGTATTCAGTATCAGTCAGGCTCAAGACAACATATCTAACATGTTACTGATTTGTACCTTTTCCTCCTCTTCTCATCCAACTCCAGCTTCAAGTGGCGTTTCAAAAACACATTGTCATCCAGCGGCTGGACGGGAAGATAAAATTCACACATATAAATTCAAGAGTTTTGAAGATTTAAAGTGACATAAAGTCCAGAGGCAGAGTTATTTAAGATGAGTCTCACCTCTGGGGGGGTGGAGGACGGGTCCTCGTCCAGGGGCTCTATAGGATTTTCCCTCCAAGACGGAACTACAAGGCCAAAAGAGGGAGAGGAAATTATTCATAGGTAGTGTTGTGAGTACATTTGATGGATATAGTGATTAAAGATGGGATATAGGTTAGGCTTACAAACAATCAGCATATCATGTACTACATGAGGAGTCCACTCACTGGCCACCTCTTCCTCCTTTTTAGGGGAAGTCTCACGCAGAGGGGACAGAGGAGGTTGGTTCCAGCAACAGAGGTACATCTCTGTAGTAGACATGAAGGGCAGATCTTCAATCTGACAGCTCAGCTCGGGCTCCTCTTTGCACGGGAGCATAATGTCCCTTTCTGCCCCTGACCTCATGGGGACGGTCTTCTCTGGGGTTTCCTTACTGCGCAGCTCTCTGTGGTTGGGAGAGCCGGGCTGAATGTCAGGCTTCTGGGGGCTAAGCTTGGCACTTTTGCCCCGTGATTTCTGGACTTTTGCATCCCCGAAGCAAGATTTCCTGTGTGCAGAGACGAAAAGAAGAGGAAGAATTGAAGTTGAGGATGTTTTTAAGTCGTGAATTATACTCAACAGAGCAAATTAAGACCACATTTTAGTCACGTGAGTAAAAGCCCGGTGCTGTCTGGTGTTATTTTACCTCTTTTGACCTTTGCCACCCCGACTAAAAGGATGCTGAGCGGCTGCGTTCGGCTGCGGACTCTCTTCCGCGTCCAGATCCCACATGTCCTCCTTGTCAGGGGTCCACGGCTCCAGGGGCTGGAAAAGGCGCTTGTCACGCGGCGGGTCTTTCCTCGTGAGCTGCAGGCGACGCTCCATGCGCTCAATACGTGCCAGCAGCTGCAAAAGAAGACGTGGAAACCCAAAAACTTAACTTTAAAAAGCAACACAACGATATTTAGCTTTAAAAAAAGAGTTTTCCTTACCGTCTCTTTGTCTGCTTTGAGCTCATCGATCTCCTTGTCCTTGGACTGCAGCTGCTGTTGCTGCTGTTCAATGAGGTCCAGTTGGAGGAGGAGGATCTGTCGGAGGCAGTTGGCCTGCGTGTGGGGGTTCGCAGGGGTCTTCCTGATGTTCCTCCACTTGCCCTCGGACGAGAGTTCGATGGATGCGGTGCCGAGGACTCCGGGGACGACCCCCTTCACGCTGTCGTCGGCACCGGCATCCTTGTTGTTCACAGCCATCTGAGGGTTATCCATAGTGTCAGCAGAGAGGGGTTTACCTTTCACTGGGGTTCCCTCACCCCCCATCGGTCTGACAGGGGACAACACCCCCACACTTTTACTGTCTCCTTGAACCAGATCTGCAACCGTGGCAGCGAGGGGGACTTTACTTGTCATGTAAACCTGGTCTAAGTCCTTAGATCTGCTCTCGCCCCTGTGTGCGTCTTGAACATCGAGGACAAAGTCACAGGACTCCCTCTGGAGGCTCACGGGACCCCCGAAGTGCGTCTGCTCGAAGTCTGTGGAGTCAGCGTCCTGCTCGATCCCTGTGTGTGCAAACAGCGTGGATCTCAGAGTCATGGCGGACACGGACACTTCTCATCCTGCAACGCCTCGGCGATGCAACTCACTGCAGCCTCCCATGAAACCCGAGCAGCTGCTGCCCTGCAAACACACACACACACAC